AAGAAAGGTCAGGTCTTTGCCTGGCCTCTGGGAGGTAACCTTTAAGCCTGTGGCATATCCTGGCTGGTAAGAGCATCTTTGTTTACCTGGTCAGTTAATACTAACAATGTGATTGGGGGTTGGGAGGAACCTGGGCCGGCCTGGCCTCTGAAGCAGATGAAGACTGAAGGTTTGCCTCGTGGGTGGTCAGCCATGCCCACGTGACCAAACTCGAGTAAAAACCCTGGATATCAACGCTAGGGTCAGCTTCTCGGGTTGGCGACCCTCTTGCACATTTTCACACGCCATTGAAAGAACGAAGCACTGTGTGCACACCCCCAGTGGGGAAGGGCAGGTAGAAGCTTGTGCCGGCATCTCCTGGACCAGCTCTGTGCCTTTTTCCTTTGTTGATTTTAATCTACATCTTGTCACTATAATGAACCATTATTATGAGTAAAACAGCTCTGCTGGGTTTTGTAAGTCCTTTTAGCAAATCATGGACCTCAGGGTCATCGCGGGGACACTCTCCTCAAGCACCATAATCCAACCACAATTAATATATTAATACTAAATTATGACTTGAAATCAAAAGAAAATCTCTTTCAACAACAAATTGCTGCCCATGCCCTGGCTGGTGTGGCTCAGTGGATTGAGTGCTGGCCTGTGAAGCAAAGGGTCACCGGTTGGATTCCCAGTCAGGGCACAGGCCTGGGTTGTGGGCCAGGTCCCCAGTAGGGGGCGTGGAAGAAGCAACCACACATGGATGTTTCTCTCCCTCTCTTTCTCCTTCCCTTCCCCTTTGTCAAAATAAATAAATAAAATCTTAAAAAAAAACAAAATCAAATTGCTGCTCACAAAGATCATATAAAACATATAAAATGCAGTGAATGTATTATGTCTGCTCTCAACACACTCTGTCAAATTCATGAACAGTTACCTGAGCTATTTTTATTTATAAAAATAATGTTACAGTGTTCATCACAGTGAATCGATGAAGGTTCTCATTCACGTTTTATAATATAAAAACACTCAATACCAATTAAGATATTACATTCTCAAAATTTTGGATTACAAGAAAAATAATCACTCCCCTGACCTATCATTTAAAAAGAAAGATAATTTTGAAAGGGATACTTAAAATGGTATAAATCACTTATTTCTTCTGTCTTGCTAAGACTCTAAATCACATTTCTAATATAATTACATATAAGATTTTCAAACTGATAATTTTTGAAGAGAAAAATTTAATATATTTTTTGCTGACATTATTTAAGATTCCTTTGTAATAGTAAAGGAATTTTTTTGTTCTCTTCAATTACTCACATTCTCATCCTTAAGGGTCATTTTTAATTAGGCAGTGGCCTATCTTAATTTTTCCCATATTGATATTTCCCCACATCGATTTTTCCAGGTATATGTGCTGTTGCTCTGGGAATTTCTAGAAATCAAATTCAAGGCAATCAACAAGTGTGCTTGTCCCAATTCAATTTAGAAACACTATATGTGTGATTATAAAGATGTTCTTGAATCGACAAGTGTAAATGAAATCATTCTGCAGAATTATAGGGGAAAAAGCTATAAACAAAAAAGAAAACAAAAAAAGAAAGAAAAAGACAAACAACAAAATTTAACACTTTTACTTCAATAGCTGACTCTTAATTATACTCTAAAAGAGCTCTTTTTCCCATTTTCTGATGAATGCCATAGGCATTTAGTAATCTTTGTTTCTCTTCAAAAATAGATGATAGATAGATATTGTTCTTAAATATTCAACACAGGCAACTTTCTAAAAACTGAGCTATGTTGGTATGTGTGTACCCAGGTTTCATACAGATAATTATCTAATCTTTGAAAACTTCCCTTACTTGAGAGGCTAGGTATTTATGCTCATTTTAAATTTTTCCTCTTTCTACGCATCTTTCTTTCTATTTTTAAAATTCTTTTTAAATTAAATTTATCTGGGTGACATTGGTCAACAGGATTATATAGGTTTTGGGTGTACATTTCTATGACACATGGCACTTATGTGGCATCGTGTGTTGACCACCCAAAATGAAACCTTCTTCTGTCACCATGTATTTGACCCCTTTTACACTTTCCCCTCCCTGGTGGTCTAGCAGCTTGGATTCAGGGCTTTCAACTACTTTTTTTTTCACTGTGCTTTATGTCTGATGCTGAATTTACACAAATGAACTCCATCCTCTTCGTTTGTTCTTTGTAAAGATACAATTCTCAACGTTTGTGTCTGCCGATCTCTAGCATAAGGAAAATCCCAGTCTCTACTTTCAAGCCGAATACCGCTTACTACCAGTAAGAACTTTTAGCAACTAAGTGGCTTGATGCACAACGCATCCCACGTCCTGGTCTTCATCCATCAGGCATTACACATACTTTTGGCACATCTCTGTTGACTTTGGGTACCGCTCTATAAAAGTCAAATAAAATAATATTTCACTACCATTTTAGCCGTTCCAACCTGAGCGCCTGGCCATAAAGCAATGTTGCTACTGCGTAACGTTGAAATGTCCTTCCCTTAAATCATATCATGCAGTCGTTTTTCTAAGTAGTTGCAATGAGTAGGTTCTTGATCAACAGTTTACATGTTAACAAAGTAACATAAATTGTGCGTCATTCCTTAAATTAGTGTTTTCTTCTATATTTAAGAATACAGGTAAATAAAGTAACTTCACATATCCACTTTTAAAAAGTAAAACAACTTTTTACAGTGAACCTTCTATTATTTAGGGGTCTTGAGAAAATTACTTCCCATCTGTTGCTTAACAATGTACAGCCTCTGCTTATACATCAAGCTGGTAATGCACAGCTAAATAGTGGAAATGATCATTATTCAGAAATTTGTATTTAATGTGTAAAAATTATATTTATGATTAATTTGCATTTAGCGTATTAACATTTTTTTAGTGGTAACATTTTTCTTGCCTTTACATATTTTTCTCAACATTTTTCATTCTAAGGATGGTTTTCCTGGTATGATGAAACTAATATACTTTTAAATGATGAAAGTGGAACTAAGATTCTAAATCCCGCCATTTACGGGCTCCAACATGAACGAGGAGATTGCGTTGCTCACTAACCTCCGCAGCGTGATGACTTTAACGTGTATTTGTTTTCTTTTTGCTCCTTATTTTTCTGAGTAACAGACTTGCATTCTAGAACACTCAACCAAAGTCTCAAAGCCTCAAAGCCTGCATGGGAGAGAGTGAGAGTATATGCACATAGTTACCTAGGGGCCCCGAAAATCGATTACGGCCAGTACCGTCTTGTTTCTTGGACTAGGTTATGGACGCACGGGTATGTTCAATTTTTGTAATTCACTGAGTTGTATCATTACGAGTTGATTATTTTCCTGTACTTCATTTACCTGAATAAAAAGGTTGTTTTTTAAATCCAACACTCTTACATGCTGTGTAAGATATTCTCTACATTTGCTTACAGCGAGCAGACTTAACTCGGCTCCTTGTCTCGAGTCCAGGCCCACGGCACAAAGGAAGCGAGCGGGTGTCTGCGGGGGGCGGGCCCAGCCCACGGGCACAGAGGCTGAGCAGCTCGGAGGAATGGTCGGCACCTGGGACTCTGTGTCTAGGGCTGCCAGGTCTGCAAATTTGAATTTTTATGTGAAACTCATACTTTTTAGTGTTGGTGACTAACCCCATTTTTTAAACCCTGCTGGCCCAGCTAAGTGTGTCTTTGACCAAAGAAGCCTCCATTATGATCGCCTCCCTGAGAAGATCCTCTCCAAGTCCCAGTTCAGTCAAAACACCTCTCGTTTGCAAGACTGATCCGCTACCGGCCAGGGAGGCCTGCAGGCGACGCTCATCTGGTTCCCGGACTCACACTATTTCTACTCTCGCAGCTGCCTCTGAATATGTGCGCGGACCTTACGGCGTTGGAATCCGAAGACACCTTGGTAACACAGGTATTGTCCCCGTTTTGATGATGAGTGATGTAGGGCCCAAAGGTAGCAAGCGGATAACGAAGACATTCATGACAGCATGACCTGAGCTAGGAGAACTGAGGTCGGATCCTTCCTCGACATTTGCTATTTTTGTAACTCTGAGAAGGTAAGTTAACGTAAGACTGGCCTCTGGTATCGCCACCTCACTGGAGTCTTGTAAAGGCATACGGATCAGGTAGAAATGTGCCTGGCACATCGTACGTGCTGTATAAATGTTGCCGTCACTAATTATTTATTGCTATTATTAATATCATCTGTCAAATGAGATCCTTGCTTTCTGTAAGTGTTGAATGAGCTGATTGATGGCAAGTGTTTAGATTGTGCCTGGGACAGAGAGAATGTTCGCCACTTGTTAAATGTGTATCCAGTTTAATTCTCTTTCAAACACATTAGTCCTAAACCATGCAGATAAAGTCCTTTACTTTGAGTTGGGTAATAACAAGCGTTGGCACTATTATTTTATAGGCGAAAAGTATTTAAACTTGTACTAAGTGTTTTCTTTTTTTTAAGATTTTACTTATTTATTTTTAGAGAGGGGAAGAAAGGGAGAGAAAGAGAGAAAGATCAATGTGTAGTTGCCTCTCTAGCACCCCCAACTGGAGACCTGGCCCACAACCCAGGCATGTGCCCTGACTGGGAATTGAACCAGTGACTCTTTGGTTCACAGGCCCGTGCTCAATCCGCTGAGCCACACCACCCAGGGCAAGTGTTTAATTCCTTAGAGGTTTAAGTAAAATACATGGCTTTGTCGCGTCACGACTACTGTAAGGTTTATTCCACTTGAAGATGTGCAGTAACGTCAGCGCTGTGCCACGTAATGACTATCCCCTGAGTGTTTCGATAGTGCAATAACACGCTGTTCACACCAGCAGGAACGGTTAATCAGAAGACACGTTAAATTTAGATGGTCTTCTCCACCTCTTCTGGTTTCCCTAATTTTTAAAAAACTTGAACTCAAAGAAAAAAAAAACTATGTTTGGGCAACTCAGTCACTCCAACTGTAGCCACGCGCCAGTTTGCCAGCGAAGCCCGCACCGCTACTCACTTGTGGCCCATTTCGTGAGCAATCGTGAACGCCAGGTTCAGGCCGCTGTCTTCGGCGATGATGCATTTCCGCTTTTCGCTGCACATTCCGCTCAAGTAAGCTATGCCTGGAAAACACAGACATTGATCATCGTGTGTCAGAATTGAGGTGCAAATACTTATGCTGCGTACTAACAGAAGAAACAAAAATATGTCAGTGTTAAAGTGTGATATCTAGCCTTTCTTTTAAAGATTTTACTTATTTATTTTTAGAGAGAGGTGAAGAGGAGGAGAGAGGGAGAGAAACATTGATGTGTGGTTGCCTCTCGCATGTCCTCAACTGGGGACCTGGCCTGCAACACAGGCATGTGCCCTGACTGGGAATCAAACCGGTGACCCTTTGGTTCACAGGCCAGTGCTCAATCTACTGAGCTACACCAGCTGAGGCTGATATCTAGCCTTCATAAGTAAAAGTTTAGGGGTAAATGCATAGCTACAAGTCACTTAGGACACTTAATGTTCCTTCCAATTTCATATTTTAGATGAAATTATTTTATCAATTATCTAATTCTCAAAAGGCATACTGTAAGGATACATTTTATAATTACCACTTTTTATTGTCATTTAAGATAAATGATGAGTACCAACTTAGAAATATAAATAAAAAGCAATGATTATGTTAAATATTTTCAATGCTTGTGAAGAAGCTAATACCAAAGAAATACCCTAAAATAAAATAAAATACATATAGAACATTCTTGTACTTACATTTATATTGAGTAAATAAATTTCAAATTTTAATTTTGTAAAATACCATTTTAATTAATATTTGGAAAATTGAACATGTTTCTTCTGAAAATTTCTGGGCTAACAAGATGGTCTGACAGCAGTGTATATACTGAAATATTATTTAAGGTAAAACTTTGAGCAAGATATTTGATCCTTTGATTTAAATCATCAGTAAAGATGATAATATCTGAAAACATAGATAACTTTTCAATCAAAGATTTATGCCCCATTTTACCAACTCAAATATATCCCTGAATAAATATCACTTAACACAAGGGATTGAAATATTTTAAGTGTAAGTTTTAGCATATTTTCAAATAAAAGTTATTAAAATAATGTCTAGTCTGTATTGAATTCATTGTCTATTCTCTAATTCTCAAATCCTTATAAAATACATTTCATCTTATTTCATGAAAATATGAAGAAGGCACGAACAGGCACAATGACTTCCCAGAGATCACATGACTACTACTAAACAGGAAAGAACTGGGGATCGACCAGCGGACGGGCTTTGTTTCTGATTACGATTTGGTACAGAGTCGTTTTCTGGTTAAAGATGACTAGTTGACTGCTTGTGAGTTTCCTCCTTTCTCCAGAAACTTAAACAATAATGGCAAGAAATAATTAAATTGAAATAAAATAAGAAACCGCCTTGCCCATATCTGGGAAAGATAGAAGACATGAAGGAAGATGAATTATCTAGCAGAACCACAGCCGAATGCCAGGAGAGGAGGGTGTTACGAGTGAGGTAGGACCCCAAGAGAGGCCCCAGAATGAGGCCCACAGGTCCGAGGGGAGGCACTCGGGAGGGCTGAGAATGGAGATGAGTGGGGGGCACGTCTGAAACCCTCTACCCGTCACTCGAGCCTTCGTACAGAAGGTCCGGGCCTCGTACTCACTGGCCTACCAGGGAAATGAGATACATTCTTTAGGCAAAATAAAGTATAAACATAATTTTAAAAATACAACTACAGAAACAGGTAAGAGATGAAATATCCACATGTGAGGGGGGACCCCCAAAGCCCCCCGATTTATGTATAAAAAATGTGTATTGAATTCTCACATGTTTAAACCTCAGTGCCCTTCAAAGTACTCTCCACCTGACGCCATGCGCCAAGCAACATGTCTTTTCTGCTGCTCAAAACAGCTGTTGAACTCGTTGATTTTGATGCCTTTTAGCGATTCTGCTGTTTTTATTTCATCTGTTCCACATTGGCAAAATGTTTGCCTTTGAGAACTTTTTTCATCCGGAGAAACAAACAAACAAACAAACAAAAAGTCGCTCAGGGTGAGCTCAGGTGAATAGGGAGGGTGGGGCACAGGGCTCACGCCATTTTTGGTAAAAACAGTGTGGGCAGGTGCGCTCATAAATCACCCCCACCTTGAAATAGGCAAACACATTGAGAATCATCAAAACAAATTCACTGACGCTGAACGCAGCCTCTCACAATGACACCAGTGGTGACACACTGATAGACGGGTTCCTAAAATATTCACCTAATGGGGGAAGCCTGGCTATAAGAGGCCTGCCTGCAGAAGACAATTCCAGTTTTTCTGCAGGTCTCATGTTGTATGTTAAAAAGCCCATCACCTAGGCTATGAGGGAATCATCACAAAGCCGTCTCCCTAGGATGATGGGGACTCATGTCTCAAATCCCATCTTCCCATCTCAGTGGAGGCAGAGGTGTTTGTAAGGAGGGAGAGAGGGGACCACACCAAATAGATCAAGGGCGGGGGTTGAAAAGCGCTCTCCGTGCAGACGAACACGGCTCATTCGATACGACGGTCCAGTATGTGTCTTCCCAGCTTAGTCGTCCCAGCTCCAGGTCATTGGGCTCCATGGACGAAGGTCAGTGAATCTCCTGGAGCTGGGATGGCTGAAGGCCGGGGTCTGTATGTTTTGAAACTAGTTCCCAGGCTTCTTACACAAACTCACTGTGCATCTACCAGCTACACGTTAGTCAGAGTCAGAAAGAAAGTCAAGGGAATGGTGGGTGGGTAACACTTTCCCACTGATACAATGTCCCACCGTTCCAGTACATCTCAGTGAAGAAGAGGGAATGTTATCCAGGGCACAGGTCAAAGGTGGATGGGAGCTGAATAGGACTTTTTTGGAAAAGAAACAAAAGTTCAGACTAGCAGCTGAGAGAACTGGGAAGACCGCTGATTGATACTAGTGGACAACGTCACGTAAACGGGCCAGAAAACAAATGGCTCAGCAGGAGCCCAGGGCAGCACCGATCAGGCCAGTTGCAAGTGTCCAAACCTCCTGGCTCAGAGAGAGAAGAGGAACATTTGGGTCAAACTCGGGTTGAGATTTTGTGCAGCAGGTGTAAGGGAAGGAAGGATTAAAGGATGTGAGAGTTGGCAGTAAAACTGAGCAGGGAAGAAGGAACAGAACTCGTAGGCTCCCTGCCTGGAGCGTAAAGAGGTAAAGTCAAACAGAGCCTGACTGTTTGGAGTCCACAGACTTACTGGAGACTGTGGTAAGAGTGTGGGATTCAGAGGCTGAGGATTTCAGAGGTAAAGTTTCAGGACTTAATTAGGTATTACCAGGAGAGTAAATAAGGGTAGAGGCAGACGTCCCCAAGACTGAGGGCAGAGGGCGATGCGGTAGTGTTGGTGGACTGAGTACGCGGACACGAAATTGCACAGGGTCGCCGTGAACTCAGGAAGGTGGAAAAGGCGGCAGCACCTGCAGGACACGTGGGCGAGAATCACGGAGATCAATCAATTGCAGCGACGGTGAGGGATGAGAGTGTCAAGGTCAAGAGCTTCTGCTTCACTCGAAGAGTTTCTACATGAGGACAGAAGGGATTTTGACTCCAGAGCAGGGTAAGTAGGAAGCAAGAGGGATGGAGCTGGTACTCAGCTTTGGTGTCTGCCTGGCGCCGGCCTTCGAGAAGGGGAAGAAGAGAATGAGCAGGGGCCTCAGGCCTGGGTTCCTCGCCAGGTTCTGGGAAATCAGCGACTACTGTGTGGTCAGGCAGAGTCTTACGGGGATAAAGATTATAGTTCATAGTATATAAGATATATATTTTATCATAAAATATAAATTTATATGAAATCATATAAAATGTAATCCAAAGTGATGAGTACATACTGACATAGAGGTGTGATTACAACTAAGTAGTGTACAATCTACACCATCGCATTTTAACACAACAAAACTGTTACATAAATACACAAATTTGCTAACTGCAATTACCCTATGTGGAGAGATTATGGTTCATTTTTCCTCCTGCTTTCCCATTTCTCAAACTCATGGAAATTTTTATTATAACAGTTTTTTAATGACAAAGTTAAAGACATAAATATGATACTGTGTCTATGAAATTTGAATCATCATTCTGTTTAAAAGCCCATGCTGCCCTGGCTGGTGTAGCTCAGTGGATTGAGCTCGGGCCTGCAAATCAGAGGATTATGGTTTGATTCCCAGTCAGGGCACATGCCTGGGTTGCAGATCAGTTCCCAGCAGGGGACGCACAAGAGGCAACATACATTGATAGTTCTCTACCTCTCTCCTTCCCCTCCCCTCTAAAGATAAATGAATAGAATCTTTAAAAAAATAAAAGCCCATACTTTTCAGCTCTTTCCTAAAACCCACATGTTTCCTGTTCTAATAAAGGGTAGAGGTTAGAAGGAGAAAGGATTTAATACAGCTATTATTTAAAGACAGCTGTAATACAGACCGTTTTCAAAGCATTCTGAGAATGAAACACTGAGCAGAAAACAGCACAACGGTCCAGAGGTAGTTTGTGAACAGGGGTAAGATGCTGCCAGAACCTTGGGGGGTGGGGTGGAGCCAGGGTGACAGCGGGCAAGGCGAGCTCCTGGTCAGTGCCCCGTGTGAGTGAAGGGGAAGGCAGTGCCCCTCCTGCCTGCCTTCCCGGGCCCCGGGAGGTTGGTGGTGGTGGTGGTGGTGGGGGGGTGGTTCTGTCCCACCCAGTGCCAAGACGAGACAAGACAGGAAGAAAGGAAAGTGGGCATCTTGGAGCCAAACAATCCTGCCCATGGCCACACGAGCTGCTGCCCCCAGCACGGTGGAGTGGGCGAGTCAGAGTGAGATGGGCTCAGGCCTTTAAGGCCAGTAGATCCCTCCCGGGTCCCCTAATGGGAAGCCAGAAGTAAGAGTGGAGAAGGGGCCCCCCAAACCAGGAGCGCAGTGAGCAATTCAAAATAGCCTGCAATTTCTCACCTAAAAATGGAGTCATGCACCAGGAGTCAACAGAACCTCTCACATGGACATCGGCGCACTATCCCGTGACTCGTCTTACGGAGATGATCAAAGACCTTGGAACCCCATGGGACACACAGGCAGTAATGGCCTGACGGGGAA